CGGCCACCCACTGCAGAGATGAGCAAGCCGAGGCCCCGGGGCACTGCAGGAGCCGCTGCAGCGTCGCCTCCACATAGCCTGGGACCCAGACGCCCTTCCCGGAAACTCCCAGCAGCAACCGGGACCCTGGCAGGGGACGCCTGCATCCCGCCCGGCTCACGTGAGCGCACTGTCTGCTCGGCTGCCAGCCTCGCGGAGCTGCCCAGATGGCGCCGCTTATTACCCTCACGTGGCTACGCAAACGAAGAACAATTGATTACTGCAAGCGCGCAATTAGGCTCCTCTCGGGCCCCTCTGTTTGGGTGGGCAAAACGGGTTTCTGCAACCACGGAAAGGAGGCAGAGGGAGCTTTGCTCAAAGAAGCAGGCTGTGGAGCCACGGACTTAAAAAGGAGTGAGAGACACCGACAGAGAGAGGCAGTGAGACCAGGAAATTCAGGAGGACGAGGAAGGGAAGGTGGAGGAGAGAGGTGGGAAACAGGCGGGAGTAGGCCTGGAGCAGACACAGGTTCAAATCCTACGCTCTGATGCCTGCTGGCTGTGTGACCTTGGACAAGTGAATTAACCTCTCTGTGCTTCACCTGCATCTAGCAATTAGACTTGCCACACAGGCACTGGGCTCCACATTTATAAGGCCGGACCAGCCCATTCCTCGGAGTGGAGGGAGGGGCTCCCGCTCCTCAGCTCTCAGTGGAATGCCTGGCACGTGGGCACCCCTGAAACAGGCTTGTGGGGTCTGTGTGGTGCGTGGAGGGGTGGACAGGTGAAGAGACAGATGGACGGGTGAGTGGATGAGGACTGAGGCATGGGTGGGCCTGCGGGTGGAGGAAGGGTGATGGCCGGGGAGGTCGGTGGGTGTGGAAGGGTGGACGGGTGAACAGATGGGGACGTGGATGGGTAGAAGTGAGGGGGAGACGAGGAACAGGCTTGTGGGGTCTGTGTGGTGCGTGGAGGGGTGGACAGGTGAAGAGACAGATGGACGGGTGAGTGGATGAGGACTGAGGCATGGGTGGGCCTGCGGGTGGAGGAAGGGTGATGGCCGGGGAGGTCGGTGGGTGTGGAAGGGTGGACGGGTGAACAGATGGGGACGTGGATGGGTAGAAGTGAGGGGGAGACGAGGAAAAACACCATCGTCGGAGCCTCGCTGCGAGCACCACGGGACCCTGAATGTGAAAGGCCTTGGCCTGGAGGCCAGGAGCCTGGGGAAGGGGACACAGCTGCACTGTACAGAAGCCCAAATCCTGGCGGAGCCCTGCGCCCGTGGCTTCCTCTGAAGCAGGGCTGAGGGATCCTTTGCAAAGAGGCAGGTGCCCCAGGGTGCTGCTAGGGGTGGAGGCACAGCAGGTCGGGGCTCTTCCCCGAAGGCTGCGTGTACCAGGGACTCAGGCTGTGCTGGGCGTCACCCTGCAAAGAGGTCCCTCCCCGCCCCACGCCCTGACACGACTGACACGGCCTCCCCTGGAAGACTCAAGGGCTCCCTTGAGCTCCCCAAGTTTGTCCCTTTGGGCTTGGCCCTTCCTGAGCCCTATACCCAGCAGCCTTGGGCCCCTCCTGGCAAGTGCTGCAGGGCAGTAACCTCTGGTCTAGCATCACCAGACCAGGAACCGGGCCCCGGCACGGAGGGAGCAATGGCAGGCTCAGTCAGTGACGCTGGTCTGGGCCAGAATGCCAGGAGTTTGAACTTCATCCTGAGGACGAAGGTAGCCACAGAAGGTTATAGACAGATGGCATGGTATAACTGATGATTCAGGAACTCCCTCCTATTGGTACAAAGAGAGTGACCTGGAAGGGGATGCTGGGGAGCCAGCGAGGACCCCTCAGTGGGCACGGGAGGGAGGGAAGGAAGACACTGGGTCAGGAGTGGCAGACAGGAGGGAGGGACTGGGAGGCAGCATAGAGGCGGCATGAACGGACAGTGAATGGGTAGGATGTGGGGTCCCAGGTGGGAGCAGCAGGTGAGCGATGGCCTCAGCTTGGGCCAGGATGGTGGCTGTGGAGTAGAGGGGGGCATCAGGAAGTGGAGTCCACAGCTATGAGGTCGTAGGTGGCTAGGGTAAGGGAGCAGGTCCCGGGTTTTGGACAGGGTGAGGGCTGCCCGGTGGAGCCCATGTCCAGCCCTGGAGGGTCTGGAGCCAAGGACCAGTGTCTGGGAGGAGAGGGGCCTGAGCCAATGTGCAGTGCGTGAGGCTGGAAGGTGGGCTGAGCCCTGCGCCAAGGGAGCAGCCCAGGAGGTCCCAGCACAGCAGGCACTCAGGGAGCGCGGGGTGTCAGGCTCACTTGCCCCGGGAGGTCAGACTCACAGCAGCCCGACCAGCCAAGCGACCTCCACTCTCCACCCCATCCAGACCCCGGCCCCAAAGCCCCACCTGGCCGGGGCAGCAGGACCCTGGAGGGCAGCGAGCCTTACCCAGCGGCGGTCCATGGGTGATCAGGACGTCCACACCCTCGGGGATGAGGTTCCACTTCTCCAGCAGGGCCTGGCCTCGAGGCAGATTGAAGCCCCATCCATAAAACCAGGGCTGCCTGGAGGGGAGGAGCGTGAGCGTTAGAGCCACCAAGCATGGGGTGGGCACGGGAACGGGGCAGAAGCCACCGGGCCTGGCGCAGGACCAGCACTCGACCGAGGAAGAGACAGGAGGGCAGGGGAGCCCGATCCGGGGAGGACACACTCATCGCTTCCCACAGCAGCTGCGGCCCAAGCTGCCCTCACCAGAGGGCAGGAGCCATGCCGTCACCCAGGCCACCGACCCAGCCCCTTCCCTCCGTTAGTCCCACAGGGAGCATGGGCCTAGATTATTCCTGATGAGGGAATCCCAGGCATTTCTTTAAATGATCAGAAAATAAGACACTGTCATCCCGGTGTGTCGACAGTCGGGAGTGGACTCGGGTACTAAGCTGTCACAGGGGAGACAGCTAGATCAAACCACACCAGATGCCCACCGTGCCTTGGCACGTCTCAGCTCTACGGGCCAGTATAAAGCCATCAGAGGGGCCGCGGCGGGGCTCAGTGGTACAGCACCTGCCTAGCATGTGTGAGCAAAAGCATCCTGCTGGGGCCATGAGAAGCACCCCTGAGGGTTAAGTGATTGTGACCCCACACGAGTGGAGCCTCTGGGGGTTCGGAGTCACCGCCATCACCCTCAGCACCTCATGACCTCTGTCACCATTGCCATCTCCGCTGCGGTCTGCATGTTCCTCCGCTGAGACCCAAACCAGCAGGGTGCCAATGGAAGGAGGGGGCCCTGGGAGGCGAATGGATCGTGAGCGGGGGTCTGCGAAAGAGACCGGTGCCCCAGAGGAAGAGGCCAGAGAGAGACCCCAGCCCTTCCTGCCAGGGGGCAGTGAGAAGATGCCATCTCCACACCAAGACGCTGGATCCTGGACTTCCAGCCTCCAGACCGGTGAAAACTAAGTTTCTGCCATTCACAAGCCACTCTGCCGAAGGTACTTTCTTGCAGCAGCCAAAACAGATTACAGAAACCATCAACGCCATCACAACCGTCACCACCGCCATCTCCACTGCCACTGTTGCCACCGCCGCTCTTGTGGGTCCAACTGTGCCCCCCAGAAAGATACCTGGCTAGATCCTGGTGCTGTGCACATGCCCTTAGAAACGGGGCCTCTGCAGGTGCAGTCAAGCTAAGAGTGGGTCGTGCTGCATCCGAGCAGGCCCTAAATGCAATGGCCAGTGTCCTTCTAAGAGGGCCACATGGAAACAGGGACACAGGCTGAAGAGGTACAGCATGGGAGAGCGTGGGGGAGGACAAGAGGCTGCAGTGAAGCTTCTAGACGCCAAGGAACGCCCAGGACGATTGCAGGCAGCCCCAGAAGCCAGAAGAGCCCTGCAGAGATTCCCCTTCAGACTTCTGTCCTGCAGGACCGCGGCAGAACACATTTCCGTTGGTGGTGATGGTTGTTACCCAGCCCTGCACACTGATACAATCCCCGTCACCGTCACTGCCACCCCAGGACCTCCACCCCTGCGGTGAGGCTTGGCCTTGTGGATTAGGATACTGAGGACCAAGGATCAGAAAACGAAAACTGTCTCCAGCATGTTCCACACAGCTCCTTTTGTGCCAGGCCCTGTCCTGAGACATGAAAGGGTGTGCTCACCCCACTGTTACAAGCACCCTAGGAATTAAGATTGCCTTTTCCACACGAGGAGCCTGAGGCCCTCAGAGATGAGACGGTGCTGGGGTTTTGCCACCTCGTGACCGTTTGCCTGCCTGTACACACTGTGAGACGGGACGGATGGCCAGGCTTTGCCCTTACAGCCCATGATGCCAAGAGCTGCCACCTAAGTCCCGAGTCCATTCTGTGGGACAGCGGACGATGCTAGTTGTTAGCCCAAATGGCCCTACCACCCCAGTGCACCTGTGTGGGACCCTGTGGGACACCATTTGAGAACCAGGATGTAATCCCACCCCGGCGGGTCCTAGACAAGAAGATGCAGTCCAGAGAGGGGAACAGAGGCACCCAAGGTCACACAAAGGAGACATCGTTTTTCAAACCCAGTCCGGATGCTCTCTGCCCCTACCTTCAAGCCTGTAGTTCATCTCCTGAGACCTAGGCATACAGAGGAGGACAGGGGAACACGCTGGCCACCGCTCGGGGTCAGAGGTCTTTCTGCAGGCCCAGGGAGGGGCGGCACACACTGAAGGAGTGGTGGGGAGAGGGCCCGGGACTGACGGGCGGCCTGGCGAGGGGACAGACACTGGCCGTACCCACAACCTGCAGCAGCTGCCCACACTCAACCCTGAGGCGGACCCCACAGATCCCCGGCCCCCAGAGAGCTCATTAATGGCAGGCGGGCATACTCACCACTGTCCCCCAAACCCCACCACAAGCACCATCACCCCACAGAGCCCTCCCAGTGCCCCCCCAAGAGCTTGGCTGAGAAAGCTTTGGTCCCGGGTAGGGTTTTCAACTGCATTTTGATGGCTCCCAACATTGTTTTTTAAGGTACAAATGTTAAGAAAACACCAGGAAACAGAAACCTCTCTGTTAGATATATTTCTAGTTAAACAGACGCACAGGGTGGGGCAGGAGGTGCCACAAGCAGGTGGAGGCAGCCTGAAGCCACTCGAGGTCTTCCCAGGAGCCTGGGGCCTGCCACTGAACAGGAAAAGGGACGATGCATTTCTGGCAAAGACTCCAAACACAGACTCCGTTTTTCAAAATTCTAATCAAATATTTACCAGACGGGACGAGCCCCGTCAGTGTGGAGGGAAGGCAGCTGTCTGTTCTCTTGAGGCTCTGCTGGCGGTGGCTTTTGGAGAGACTCAGAAACACATCAGAGGCCCCAGGTACCTCCTCCCAGCAGCCGACCCTAGGGAGCCCCTGATTGTCCCGCTTTCCCCTCACCCAGCATTAAGGAGCCCTGTGCCGGGGTGACAACTCCCCGCCTGCTTCTTGGAAACACGGGATCTGGGATTCTGGGAAGCTGGACTCCACGCACCTCTGGGGACACCCAGAGAGGTCGTCCTACTTCCCGGATTGCAGTGGGTAGAGAGATGGGTCTCCATGGAGCAGCTGATCCAGAACGGTCCCGCTGTCTCTCCCGCCTCTGTCCCTCCCCACGTGGCCCCATCCACCCTGCCCATCAAGGGGAGAGCATCTCAAGGGTGTAAGCGAGCTGGCCACCTAATCTGCAGGTCCTGCCAGGAGGGGAGGCAGCTGACAGCTGTGCCTTAGGTCCTGGAGGACGAGGGACTGCCTTGTCCCCCATCTGATGGGTACAAAAGGCACCGAAGCTGGCATCAGATGGCCAGTCCTGCACCTCCCAGCCTCAGTTTCCCTTCGTCAGATGGGACAAAGAGGCCAATGTCTGCAGATCTTACCCCGTAGGGCAGGGAGGGCCTGGCTTGCTGGCCGCTGTGCCCCACTGCCAGACACAGGTGGCAGGGGACCGCCTGAGACTGGAGCCCTCTCCGTGACCACTCTGAGCTCCTCACTGCAAGTGGGCGCTCAGCTCCCATCAGCATCGGGGTAGCAGGAAGAGGAGAGTCCCACAGCGGATCTTCCAGAAGACAACTCTGAGCCGGCCCGGGCTGGGGACAGTCAGGAGGGTGAGCAGGAGCAGCTGGTGGCTTTCGGGCAGGGCTGTTGGCTGACTCTCCAGGGCCACCTAACTCCCCAGGCCTGTGAGCAGCCCTTGGGGCCTGGGTGACCTCAGTCCTGCATGGTGCTCACAACACAGCCTCGACCCTGCACCAGGCCAGGAGACGGAGGTGACATCGAGGCTGTATCTTTTTCAGCAGCTGCTGGACGATGAAATGTCCCCTCCATGTCCCGTGAGGCCTGGTGTCCAGGATCAGTCACTGGGACAGGACACAGGGGCTCCCAAGGGCCCGTCACCCAAGCGGCCACCCTGGTCTGAGACGTAGGAACCTGTGAGCCTTGAAGCCGGGTGCCCGAGGGCCCGGGCCCAGTTTCCACCACGCTCCAGGGCACCCCGCCGACCGTCCATCCTTCCTCCAAGCGTGTCCAGCCTGGGCACCTCATGGCCTCCAGGAGGAAGCATGAATCAGAATTCCAACTGAGCGACGGGAGGCAGCTTCATGTCCTGAATTTCTGTCTTTCTGTTCTAAAGTAACCATTGGAATAATTTTCTTACAGAATGATAGTTGCCATGACAACCAGAGCAAATTTTCCTTTTCTGAAACAGATGTCTCATTTAGTTGAAAATTAGAATGTGAACAAACCCATGGGAAAAATTAATTCAAACTTTAAAAGAGTGCTGAATACAATGTAATCTCTCAGAGGTTAACCCCTTAACAGCTTCTCTGTGTGCGGATGGTAACCTTCCGATCTAGCCTAATTAAGCTCGCTTATCCAACATAAATGACCTCCTCATGGCCGATCATTAAACGGTTTCCCCCTGCAGTGGATTCCCGGTTCCCTCACAGCAGGCAGGAGCGGGGATTCTCGTGGACAGCAAATGGCAAAAGCAGGGCCTCACTGCTTGGGGCGTCTGCCTCCCCAGGATGGTGTGGCCCCTTGTTTAAGGAGCTGGGCCCAGGCACCCCCGCCTGCACCCTGTTTCTGGCTGTACTGGGGTCTAGGCCATGGTGGGGTAGCCCCAGGCTGACTCCAGGGGCACATCCAGGCCAGGGCGTGACTCCCCTGGATGGAGCCCCAGCACGGGACACAGAGCGGACCCCACACAAGAGGCTCCAAAGACCTCTCCAAGAGCAGCCAAGCTCAGCCCTCACACTCATCCAAGGCCAGAGCCGCCGTTGCGTCCCCATCAGACAGATGCAGAGGAGACTGGAGAGCGGCCGAGACATGCAGCCAGGGCTCGGACCCAGAATGCTGGTTCCAGGGCCTGTTTTCCACGCCTCCCACCAGGGGACGGCATTCACCCTCCTCAGCAGAGCCCCCTTGGCAGCCGTGGTCACGCAGAGTTGCTCAGGGGACCCCCGGGACCAGGCTGTCGGGAGGCCCCATCTTAGGCGGAGAAAATGGCGGCACAGAGAAGCCAACAGTGCGTCTGAGACTGCACAGGAGGCCAGAGGGGTTTG